ACTGGGGTTTATTCTCAAAAATGGGAATAAACGGTGCTTATTTAAATTTATCTGCTCTGCACTCTGACCTGGGCTTTATTCTCAAAAATATGATTAACCATGATTTATTTACATTTATCTGCTCTGACATTTTGACTTGCCGCTTGCTCTGAAGTGGGGCTTATTCTCAAAAATGTGAATAAATGCTGTTTATTCCCATTTATGTGCTCAGCACTCACCTTGCAGCCACAGCCCATCTGGTACCTCTGGTTCAGGCTCTTTTTCTGAGACAAGGATAAATCATCCCACGGCTCAATGTAGTTGCACAAGTGGATCAGCACTTTGCCATCATTTAAAATTTGGCCTGCGGCATGGAAAACACAAAGAAATCAAAGCAATAAACGTGTTTTATAAATATTAGAAGTGTACAACCACCTTGAGTTTCTAACTAATTGCACCAAATTAGTCATACTCTATATTTTTTTTTAATTAATTTAATTATAACAGAGAGAGAATGTTCTCCTAATTGCACGCTGGATGGATGTAAAAGATTAAAAAAGGATATTTTTTCTAAAGGTGTTGATAGTCTGCCAGCAAGGGGTGGATGTAAATTCAGTTAAACTGGATTTTAGGAGTGTGTAGAAACATCTGTAGTTTTCTCATTATGCACCTTTGCATTCCTGGGAAAATCAGTACTGTTGGTTTTAATCAAATAATAACGGCAAATACTGAATCAAAATTCCTTCTATTTACTGATTATTGACCTTCCCTTCCTTTGGAACTGCCCTAAGAGTGCTGCAGGAAGGGTGGAAAATGTGTCAGGTCACACTAAAACTAGAGCTGAACACAATTTTTACATCCTGCTGTGTTTGTATTCAGCACATAAACGCATTCCTTTGCATATTTTAGCAAATTCGCTCCAAGCAGCCCCTTCTGAATCCCCAGGAACATTGATTTTTTTGCTCCATTTTACCTGTTAGAAGATACTGTTTTTTGTTGTTGGCTTCTAGTTTCACTCCACAGAGTGATGAGTCAAAAGGGGTGTAGACATACTGGACATCCTTGAGCTTCTCAAAGCCTTTAAACATCTGAAAATGATCAGAAACAGAGTCAGCAGTGGAAAACAAGCATGAAAAAACAGTTGTAAAAAAGAGCTGGAAGAGATACAGGGTGAGACTCTTTAAGGAAGGCTCCAAAATCTGAATTAATGTGAGAAAACACCAAGAACTTGACTTTTCCTCTGCACTTAATGAAATTCATCCAAGAGTTTTAGGAGGGAATTAAGGAGGCCTTGATTTTTTTAAATTATAGCTTTTAAAATGTGCTTTTTCAGCACATTTCATGGATTGTTAAAACTTTCTCTTCAGTTTATATTCTAGTGGCATATTCCATTCAAGGAGCAATGCAGAGACAGCAATCACCCTGACTAAAAATGCAAATATTTCTCAGTGGATTCCTCTGGGGAATTTTGGTCACTGGAGTTTTGGGATGTCCTGGAACACCAAATGTGCTGAGGAACTGAACATTTCCTGAGCATTGTTCTCATTTTTGGTCATTAAAATAGAGCGGTTCTCCATATCCCAAATTCTCAACAGTGGGACTATTGGAAATGCAGGGCAACCCTGATGAGGGGAGAAAGATGAGGGGGCCTCTATCTTATTAGAAGCTTAATTAATTACTATATTATACTATATTATATTACTACTTTATTATCCTATATTATTTTATACTATTATACTATATTATTTTATACTATAATATTATTATCCTATATTATTTTATACTATAATATTATTATACTATATTATTTTTACTATAATACTATAATGCTATATTATTTTATGCTATAATACTATTATACTATATTATTTTATACTATAATATTATTATACTATATTATTTTTACTATAGTACTATAATGCTATATTATTTTATACTATAATACTATTATACTATATTATTTTATACTATAATATTATTATACTATATTATTTTTTACTATAATGCTATATTATTTTATATTATAATACTATTATACTATATTATTTTATACTATAATAACATTATTTTATACTCTATTACACGGAATCTAAACAAGCACTCAACTCAATTGTTTAGGATTTTGTGACTGTCAGCCAACAGTCCTGACACACACACTTGGATTCAATTCAGTGAATCAAAACACTCACACCAGAATCTAATTATTAATTCTTTTCAGGTAAACAGTCTTCCATAATGCATTCTACTTGTTTTAAAACAAGACAGGAGTAAAAATTTGTTTTAAAACAGCTACAGGAGCAGTAAATGAGATAAAAACTGGTTTTTTTCTTTCTCTGAGGTTCAGAGCTGCCATTCCCAGAAATTTCTTTGGGAAGCTGTGCCTTGCTTTTCTCTGTGAAGAGAAATGCAGCTGCATGGCGCCTTCTCAAATAACTGCTGGAAAACTTCACCCACCCCTTTTAGGATTCCCACCCTGCCAGGCCCAAAATGACAGATTTGGGATCAAAACCCCTTTTCAGGCCTAACCAGCAGCTCCAACCCCGAGAAGAGATGAGAAACGAGGCATGAAAAGATGCAAACAAGCTGAGCAGTGTCCAAGGTGCTGCTGGGTGCCTGTCATCACCTCGCGTGCCACCGCCAGCCTCGGTGACATCATGCCACGTGCTGGCAGCTGGGGACAATGGCAGGGCCTCACAGCTCTGCCACTCGCAGCTGCTGCCCCTGGAAAATGTGTTTGTGCTCCTCGGGCCCTCCCAGGGGGTTTAAATAGAAAATACTCTGTCATCTGTTGGTTTTGCTGAGGCTTTGTTTGTGGAGGGGGGAAGGAAGCCAAGGCCGCTGTCACCGCGCGGCCCGGCCAAAAATATGAGCTGGGATTGGAAATGCTCTGGGGAATCAAACAAAACAAACAGGCCCAGACAGACCAAAACACAACCCAAACTGGCACCCTGGCCAAAGCAGCAGTGGGAACCACGGAAAATGAGGGAAATGAGGAGGGAAATGTGTCTGTACAGGGAGCTCTGCAGGTCAACTTTGCCCCAAGCTCTCTCCACGTTCAGAAACCCTCAGGGCCTTGTAGGGATCAGATTTTCCATGGACATCTCAGCTTTGGCCTCAATTTTGGAGGCTTTGTGCAGACAGCACACCTTGATTTAGCTATAAATCCCCTAAATACCCACAGCAAAGCATAACGGAGATTTAGTTATTATTTAAATGAGTTTAATGTTTGTTTTGTTGCAGGGTTTTTTCCCTAAATATCCACAGCAATGCATAAAGGAGATTTATTTAATATTTAAATGAGTTTAATGTTTGGTTTTTTGCAGGTTTTTTGGTTGCATTTTCAGATTTTTTTTTTGACCTATATAATTGTTACAGCAATTCTAAAGATTATAATCTTGTCTTTAACTCAGTGAATCATATTTAATCTCCTCAATCATATTCTCCCTTCCCTAAAAGCATGGATATTTCTCTGAAAGCATGGATATTTCTCTGCAGAGGGATAAGGTGGTTGGGTTTGGTTCTGCATCGATGCTTGGTCCTGGTGGGACTTTATTGGAATAGGAAAATAGGGTGAGGATTTGGGGGATGGAGAGATGTGACCCTGCTCCTAAATTCTGTGTGGACTCCACCCTTGTCCTGCTGAGGGGTGGAACCAGCACCAGCACATGGCTGTGCTCGAAGATTTTAGAATGAGTGTGATGATCAAGTCAGTAACAAAAATATTAAGATATATTAATAAAATTACAAATTTATGCATATATATCACATATTATCTTCTCTCTTTAATATAATGCTGTAAATATTGCAAGAAAAAAAACAGTAATGGAAAACATTTATGGCTTTTTGACATGCTGACCCAGTGCTAAAAAATGAAAGCCTCATTGTTATTTTCTTTTACTTCTGAAAATGAATATCAGAATTATCTCTAACATTTCCATCTAGAATTACATTTTAATGCTAAGCCTAATGCACTGGATTTAAAAGGAGAGAAACAGAATTTGTCATCCCATTAATGGAACAGCTCAACAGAGGAATAGAGCAGAGAAACAGCAGCATTGTGCAGAATGTTACAGTCAAATAAAACCTCCAAGGTTTTGGTTCCCACCAAAATCCTTCCTTTCCCAAAATCCCTCCCTCCTGGGGCAGGGAGCTGGGTCCTGGCACAGGGGAAGGTTCGGTCCTGAGCTCTCTCTGGTCAGGATGAAGGATTTGAGGGATGGCGTTATCACAGCCCTTCTGTTGTTAGTCTAAATGGAATAAAAGATTTTAAAGTGCCTCTCAGTTTCCCCATCTCTGGGTCAGGAAGAGAGTATTGTGTGTGATGATGTCAAGCATCTTTCCTAAAAAAACACATCTCTGCTTTGTCCAGGCCTGGCTGACTTGGAATTCAATGAACTCCTGTTCCTGCTGCCTCAGTTTTGAACAGGCCTCCACTGGGGAAAATTAGGGAGAAACTCCAAGGCAGCTTCAACACACAAATCTATTTCAGAGATTTCAGTGGGATAAGAATGGGATTATAGGCTGAAAATAATCTCTCAGATTAGATTTCTCATTCCTCTTGTTTGTGCTGGGGTAGGAGATGATTTGCTTTTCTCTCAGGCTCCTGAGGTGCTGCAGAGGAGCAGCAGAACATTGGAATTCCAGTGGGAGGAAAGGGAATTCTCTGGCATTGATGTATTTATTTCTGCAAGGAAACATTTGAATAAATCCTTAACATTTTAGAGGAATGTGAATTTGCAGATGGTGGCAGCTTTGGGGTTTGTTTTAGCAAGGTAAAGACTGATTTGTTGAAATTGTTGTAAAACCTCACCAAGAGGTTTGTAATAACCAATGGTGTGATAACCATCCCTGTGAATACTTTGAGATATTTTTGTTTAGCAAAGATTCTTCCTACTCAAGCTCCTGTGAGGGGATTCTATCAGTGGATACTAATTCTATTAGTGGAATTCTTCATCAAAATATCATTATTTAGCACGTACTTCCTTAATATCAAAAAACTCTCCTGAATACGAGAGTTTTTATTATTTATTTATTATTTATTATATAAAATATAATTATTTAGCAAAATTCTTCATCAAAATAGCATTGTGTAGCAAAAACCTCCTGGATATATTTTAAAAACCCTCCTGAATATAATTATTTAGCAAAAAAACTCCTGAATATTAAAAAAAACCACCCTCCTGAATATCATTATTTAGCAAAAAAACTCCTAAATATTAAAAAAACCACCCTCGTGAATATCATTATTTAGCAAAATTCTTCATCAAGATATCATTATTTAGCATAAAACTCTTGAATATCAAAAAACCCTCCTGAATATCATTACTTAGCAAAAACTTCCTGAATATATATAAACCATAAAAACGCCTCCTGAATATCATCATTTAGCAAAATTCTTCACTGAAATATCATTATTTAGCAACAACCTCCTGAACATCAAAAAAACACTCCTGAATATCAATAAACCACCCTTCTGAATATTATTATTTAGTGAAATTCTTCATCAAAATATCATTATTTAGCAAGAACTTCCTTAATATCAAAAAACTCTCCTGAATATTATTTAGCAAAATTCTTCATCAAAATAGCATTATTTATTAAAAACCTCCTGAATATATTTTAAAAACCCTCCTGAATATCATTATTTAGCAAAAAACCTCCTGAATATTAAAAAACCACCCTCCTGAATATCATTATTTAGCAAAATTCTTCCTCAAGATATCATTATTTAGCAAAAAACTCTTGAATATCAAAAAACCCTCCTGAATATCATTACTTAGCAAAAACTTCCTGAATATAAATAAACCANCTTGGACTGGGGGTGTTCCCAAAAATGGGAATTAATGGGGATTGTTTATGTCTATCTGCTCTGCACTCACCTTGCAGCCTCCCTCGGACTGGGGGTGTTCCCAAAAATGGGAATTAACTGTGCTTGCTTACGTCTCTCTGCTCTGCACTCACCTCACAGGTTCCACTGAATGGGGGTTTATTCCCAAAAAAAAGTGTTTATTTAAATCTATCTGCTCTGCACTCACCCTGCAGCCTGCCTTGAACTGGGGATGTTCCCAAAAATGGGAATTAATGGGGC